CCCTAAAATGTACCCCTAATATTTAAAGCGACTGAGAGCAATTTTATTTTGAATTTCACTATGATATTCTGATAAAAACCCATCAGGATAGGTTATTCTTCATTTATAATAATATTAAGACTTTTTTTTTGCTCAGAATGATGCTCGGCTTTCTCGCAAATGAATCTTCAACCCATTACACGATATACTTACACGTATATCAATGCTGTATCTTGGACCAAGTTTAGAGAAAATCTTTAAGATCATCCGCGATATAATAATTACAATTTAGCGGCATAAATACCAATGTCTAAAAATTGTTGTTGTTTCTTGTGTTGCTTTGAGGTTACCCTTTGTAATAATAATTATATTTGCTTATATAGCGCCTAACACTTACTTTATCAGAAGTCTCTAAGCGCTCTACAATAATGCAGCATAATTACCCTGGCTTTACAGGAGCCCTTATTCTTTTATGCCCCCACTTATTGAAAGACGCTCTGCCGCCTTGAGGGTGTCCGAGACCTGTTTTCTGACACTACTAACAAGCAAGCAAAAAATAAGTTATTAGATTTATACCAAAAGCCAATATATTATATTATGTCTATTTTACTCTCTCTCTCTCTCTCTCTCTCTCTCATTTTCTTCCTTCTCCACTATCATAATATGAAATGAAAAATCTGAAATAATCTCAATCATATTTTTGGGGCGTTGTTTGTTTCTTTGTATTGTTTGGTTACCTCCTGTTTTGTTTACTTTGTATTATGTTGTTGTTATTGGTTGTTTTTTATCATTGATGTATGACTGTGTTCATTTTGCCTCCAACGGTTCCCGAGCGACGATGTCCCCCTCTCCATTCCGGTAATCTTTTTTCTATATAAAAGCAAGTACCATGAGACCGACATTGCCTTTGGAAATATTCACGAGACCGCAGTCTCCAGAAGTTGCAGTCTCCAGAAGTTGCAGTCTCCAGAAGTTGCAATCTCCAGAAGTTCTTGCAACTCTTTCCGATGGTCCGCGCGACCGGCGCGTTACTCGACAAAAACTATGATAAGGGTTTTATAAATTTCCCAACGAATTTGAATAGCATCGATCATATCACAAGAGGAGTTTCAGGGAAAAGGAATTAAGGCAGAAATCCCATGGAACATGATGACTTCCAAAACTTCTTGGCCAGGACTCGCTCAGTTGGGAGGGGCGGTACAGTTACTGAATGGGGGAGGCGGATCCTGCCGGCGACAAGGGAGGGGCCCCCCCCCCCAAAAAAAAAAGCGGCGAATAAGCGGGAGGAGGAGGACCCCCCCCCCCCCCCCCCCCAATTCGTGAGAAAATATTTAGCGCCGAATCAGCAAACAGGCGAATAAGCGAGGGGGGGGGGGGGTAATGAGCACTTTTTTTCTTCTTCTTCCCTAATTCGTGAGAAAATATTTAGCGCCAAATCAGCCAATCGGCTGTTTTATGGGCCAGGGCCAGGGGAGGGGTATTTCGATCTGATTTTCCTTTTTGCAGGTCGAGTTGCACCACAAAGCGAATTGGGCGGTTTTCAACTCTGTTTGGGCGAGTTGGATATTTACATATGGCGATAGAGGTGAACGATGCGACATGTCGCATTTTCTAACCCTATGGTTTATTTTCGTAAACTTGTGTCTAGTTTGTAGTTTTTTGTCTAGCTTTCTGCAAACTACAAGTTTACTAACGTGGTAACAAGTGCGAAAAAGGCTGGACTATCCTCTATGGCTATGTCGACCGAATTCAACGTACTAACGTCACGGTCAGGCCTGAAGAAATTGCCATAGCCCTACATGTGCTATCATGTGTCGGGGAAATGGTGCCTTTCTACAGTTTTGACCATACTAATTGGATTTCAACATGCAGTTTCTTTGGTCACGGAGCCTTCTTAAAAAACTACTGCCGGTCGCATCAACTGTTGGTAGACGTCTGCTCTCAGTCAATGCACATTGGTTAGGATGTTATTGGAGGCTAAGAAGTGACTGATCTTTCGTAAACTGTTTGTTGGATGAAAAGTACAAGATCAACTAGCCAAGACTTGTTGAAAAATCTCATACTGAGAGTTCATAGTATGAGGTCGTACAGTCTCGGCACATTTCATTTTTAACACGTTTCATCAATTCAAGAATAACCTCTCATCACTAACATTAACAATTTATATTTGAGCTTCTGTTGGGCGACCCCCCCCCCCCCCCCCCCCCCCCCCCAATACAAATTTTAAAAGGGAAGTCGGGGGGGGGGGTTCACCGTTTTTCGAGGCGGGATTAGGTTTGTGTATTCTTTATGTTTTTGATCTAACCATTGGTATGACTATCATTAATTTCATTGTCGTTATTATCATTATCAGTACAAGTCCACTCCAAAAATAACTTGCTTTCAATTGAAGCAGAAAAATAAGACGAACCAATCAAAAGTTTGAGCAAAATCGGATAACTAAAAAGTTATGAATTTGTGAAAGTTTATGTAAAACTATGGAACAATGAAAATCACAAGACAAATTGAAAACTCACTCATGAGTCTTTTGATAATATAAATTTCCTATTTCCCCCCTAAGAATCTTATTTCTTCACACCAGCATCCAAGATAGTTATGTTTTTGTGTGGACGCACTGATAAATAAAAGAGTTTTTTTCTTCTTCAGTAAATCATGAAAAAACTAAACTATTTAGATAAAAATCAATAATGATGAATATACAATATTCATAAAATAGTATAAATTCTTCAAAGTTCATAAAGATGTTGTATGTCATGCACGCAATAAAACGGATACAAATCATAAAACCTGGGCAAAGGCATGGGGAAATCAATTTGGGGGGGGGGGGGGGGGGATATAAAGAGAAATTAATGGGATTAAACTTTATAAAGGAATTAATAAATAGTCAGGACATGACGTCACAAACTGATAACCAAATTGGCAATTTGTGTAGTGATTTCCATTGACCCATAATTTTACACACTTTTTCAAAAATTCATAACTTTCTTTTTCGATTTTGCTCAAACTTTTTTGCTTGGTTTTTCTGATATTTCTGTTTCTATTGAAATTAATATATTTTTGGAGTGGACTTGCCCTTTAAACGACAAGTATAGGCTACCGATAATAGCTGTAATGATAATGCAGTACTAAGGTTGCTTTCATAATACATTTTGAGCAAAAAAATTGACAATATTTTGAATTAAAACAGAGAGAGAGAGAGAGAGAGAGAGAGAGAGGGAGAGAGAGAGACGATTATATTTTGTTTTCTCCGACGTTGATGGGGCCAGAGCATATTCGAGCCATTGATAAGGAGAGTTTAACCAACCAGTTCAAGTTGTGGCAAATACTGCTTATTGGACAAGCACAAAACAAAAGAATAAACATCGTGTTGTGACCAAGTGAAACCAAGTTGGTCAAACTATCAAGGATCACATCAAAGCTAATTGGGACCAGGGAAAGACAGGGAAATTAAGACAACTTTCACGAAAAACTATTAATAGAAAGAAATGTAAACGAGAATAAGGAGGGGGAGAAAGAAAAGTTATGATCATTATTTTATGGGTTATTTTATGCGCCAATCCTGAGGAAAGTGCACAGGAAATAGTGTTTTTAAATATTTTTGATCAATCTGATTCTCATTTGCGTTGCTCTTTAGCGACTCTAATATAAAATAAAGATTGGTTAATTGAATTCGCGAAGCGTCCGACATAGAACAATATAAAAGAATCAATAACAGATCAAAATTAAGTCAGCTTGAACAGGATAACCCACGAAAGCTCGAAAGCTTATTTCCAGTGAAATCCCCGACATACACGTACAAAACAGATCAGTTAAAATCAATTTGTTTACAGACAGACAAGAAAGAACTTATTTAAGATAATGATAATGATAATAACAACATTAAAATAATAATGATAGAAATGATAATAAGTACAGAAAGAAGAATAAGAAACTAAAAAAAAAAAGAAGAAAAAGAAGAAGAAGAAGAAGAAGAAGAAAAGGAAGAAAAGGAAGAAAAAGAAGAAGGAGAAGAAGAGGAGGAGGAGGAAGACTAGAGGAAAATAATTATAATTTCTAAAGCATACAAAGCAAAAAAGTATATACACAAAATGACAAAAATATGAACCTGGCAGAGAAAAGAAAAGTTTTCTGTATTCAGACTATTTCAATCATATAACTTGTCATTCGTTTCTCTCCTCTGACTCTGAAGTGATAGGTATTCCTTTAATTTCCTCATAAAATGACCAAAGGTTTCTATTTCCTTTATATCATTAGGAATGGAATTCCAATGTTTTATGGAAATGTAATCACACAAATTTCCAATATACTTATACTCTTGGTAAGTTAAAGGTGAATCGGCTATCAGTGTATTATAATCATGTAAGTCAGTAACAAGATCGAAGATGGATCGAATTATAATAATTTTCAGGGTCCATAATGCAAAAAAAACATTTTGCTCATGGATCTCTAGTTTTTTTTTATTCCTCTAGCAGACAAGTTTTTCCAAGACATTATGAAATTAGGGGCCAGTAGGCCTATAGGGAAAAGGCGTATAGAATAGCATTTATAAAGGGTCAATATTCGGAAGAAATCCTAAATATCTAAATGTCTTGCTAAATTTCTATAGAGTTAGTAAAGGCTTCCCGCGGGAAGGAAGAAGTGTAGAGATATAGCTTCTTTTTTTTCGGTGTTCAAAGTTTGGAAGAAACTCTCACGCTTGGTTGTTCAGTTGCCAAAATTTGGCTACGGTGTCTAAGATCAAATGCATCGAAAGTTACTTTCATATGGTGCCATATTTTTCTAACTGATGCTTTGAATCTGAGCTCATAATATTGGCAGGGTTGGCAAAATGTTATTGTTTTCCCCGGTGCCATAATACGGCCACTGGAATTTCATGAAACGTTTCCAGACATGATATTCAAATTACATTTGAAGTCAAGATATCCTGATGATAATGATAGAGATCATAACATTTATAGTGCGTCGCAAAATTACTTTTCAACACCTCCACGACCATGACAAACAGTCAACAACTGGATCAACTACTGGGTTGCCGAATTCGTCTTCACGCTTGCGTGCATTTGAATGGACCGAATGAATAATAGACGCACTGCGTCTCTTTTGTCGTCTGCGCTAGTTTGCTTTGTCACTGAGCAAAGTCGAGCGCTCATATGCATTATGCCGGACTGATAGTATGTATTGTGACTTGTATATGAACGATCAAGATAACTTCTTGGAACGATTCAGGGAATTAGGGATGTCAATGCAAACGAGTCTGTAATTTTGCTTCAGATGTTTTGATATGTGCTTTCAGATTTTTCTATCACGATTCAGCCGATGGAATCAGATCATTTTGCAGCTATCATAATGTTTTTTTGACTAAAATATTAGCCGCCGTGTCGATTTTATTCGTCGCTTCTCGAGCTACATGCTCCGGCCAGCTCTCGTCAACAAACAAATGTTCGTCTCCGGAACCTGTACAGATATCGCCCCCATAGGTGCGGCCTGATTCCTCTATCAACTTGAGGTGCGGTAAGCGGGGAGCTCAATTCATATGTGTTATATTTGTTTCTTTTTTAGTGTAAAACTTAACTTTTTAAACCTACGGTGAGTACGGGGATTGCATTACTTAGCTAGATAGTCTAGACTATAATTATGATACATGATATTAACGACAATCATTATCAGACAATACTACTTTTGGTTGAGTAATATCATGGTAGCAGTTTGTAAACAAACTTTGGCTTTGCATACAAAAGGTCAAGGTCTCATTGAAATTGATTTTTGGTAACATTAGGAAGTACACAAACAAATATGAAATATATAATAAACGGTTTCAAACTTACAGCCTGCTGCTGTGAAGAAAATATTAGCTGAAAATGGTTGTTCTTTAGCCAGGGTGAGATGAAGGAGGGAATGGTTTCAAATATGTTCAACAATGATTTGTGTGATTAAGATGAGCAACAAAACAAATATTCTCAGATCTTCTAGACCTGATAGATGGCTTTTGTACTCACTATTATTGTGGTTTGGTGGAATATATGTTACAAAAATAAAGAATGAAATTTTTTTTAAATTTAAATTTATGTTCATTACATACATGTATATGCCTATAATTCGCACCTGTTGGAGGTTATATACCATTGCTCTATGCTTAGTATCTAGAAGGGAAAACAATTATGTTTTTGATTTTTTTGATTTTTTTTGTTATTCCCTTCTCATTAACCAAAAACAACTATCGTTATCTTCCTTTTTTGGTCATTGTAGGTATGTCAATGATGTATTCAACAGTATCATCTGCGTATTCCTCTGCGCCCAATAGCATGGCTGTTGGGCCCAGACAGAGAAGGACGACACGAAGAGCTCCAGCTCCTAATATAAATGGCCAATCAGGACCATGGATGGATTCATCCTGGGTCCAAAGCTTCTCTTCCCAAGGACCTAGCCCCCTAGGAAACCCCCAGGACCTTAATCCAGCCTTTGCTCTGCGGAAGATCGTTCTCCTCCTAGAGAAGCAGAAGTACATTGACGTCTCCCAACTCATAAACCAGCTCAACAATGTGGCCATCAAATCAATCCTGCATGAATTGCCTATTCATGTGTTTCTGGAAAATATCCCTGACTCTCTTGTCGCACTAGAGAGTTTGTACTCAAAACTGTTTGTCCTAGACCCAGAGAACTTCCCTGTGGATAAGCTGGCCATTGAAGCTACAGTTTTCCAGATCGTTCGACATTTAGCCTTGGCTGACTCTATGCTCGATAATGGCTCCACTCAAGCTAATGCTGATTTGATTGGGTCCATTCGAAACATCTTGCAAATTGTCCTCTTTGTCAAACCAGACATTGTTTCTGTCGTCCATGCACGGAAAAAGATGATGGACAACGCGCTCCAGGGAATAGGCGAGCACAGTTTGGTGAAGGTCGCAGGATCTCTCATGAACCTTCATGATGGTTTGAAGATTGAATTTGAGAAAACTACTACTTCATACAAAACAGCCATTCAGCAACTTGAACAGCTAAGCCTCTCCAACCACAAGCCGGTCACTCTCAAATCATTTGCAAATCGGCCGCTTCCCTCCGCTAACCACCAAGTCCTCATGACATTCACCGAAGAAGAAATTCAAGAAAGGCTGTTCAAGAACAAGACTGTGTTAAATGCTGTTGAATCCAATATGACCAATCAGCTCCCACACTTGATCAAGAACCTTAAAGAAAGGATCGAGAATGATAAGAACGCACTCCTGGCTTTTGGGAGAATACGGCGAGAGATCAAGGGCATATCTGGCGACGCCAAAGTAGCACCTGTTCTGTCTCAGTACTCAAGAAGTCTCAGGTCTGTCCTAGATGTCTTCAAGGTTCTCTTGGAAGAGCACTATCCCGAGAGCAAGACACAGGATCTCAACTTTCCAGATCTTGATGACCAGGTCCTAAAGCTAGAGGATGTTGATGGAGTGGCATCTGGAGGCTCTGCCCAATTGGATGCAGCTAAGAGCAACTCGACTGACATATATGCTGGTAAGAATAATATTCTTTTTGTTTGTTCTAGTATTGTAAGCACTATGTTGAGTCAAAGTAACTGGACTGGATAGTTTGTTGGGTCAGAGGAAGGGAAAAGGAAGACTAATATTACTGTAAAAATGGACAAAACAATGGTTTGTGAAGGCAGTTGATTATTTTTAGACGAGAGAAATTTTTAAAGTAGTATGCACTCTTAAAAAAGTGGTTCCTGATTGTGCATAAGATGCAGTTTATTTTTGTTGCCTTACTTTCACAGGTAAGTTTTTTCAATTTTATTTTATTTTGATTCTGTGAAAATTACATTTGTTACCTTTTTCTTAGCTAACAAAATCAATACATTTTCAACGAAGCATATTTAATTAGGAATATTAATTTGAAATATAATTAATAGTATCCATATGTACAAAAGAATTATACCTAGAAAGGCCCTGGATGACCGATACCCTATTTGATATATAGATGGTCCTCATGTTGTCTTTTAATTGATGTATAAAAGCGAATATATAGCGTAAGGTTGCTCACTTTGTTAAGCGTTAACCCCTATTTCTTATCTCGCAGGTCCCCTATTGTCAGAATTGTGAAACCCCCTAAACACACACAGAAACTCTCCCCTATTATTTTATTCCAAGTATACATGTAGGTAGTTTGCTTAAGCCTTGAATACCATTCCCGATGACTAAGTACACTGAATCCTCCATGCTACGCTGGCAGAGTTGGGATTTGAATACTGGAGGGTATTTGTTCAAGAAAAAAAAGACACAATGTCATCATTGTAAAGGTTAGAGTTCACACTCTCTTACAATACACGAACATCTTCCTCCTTTCTTTATTGTCCTGAAGTGGGAAAAGAGTTTTGTAATTGTCCCTTTAAAAAGTGAGCAATGGTTGATTTATACTGTACTTCAGACATGTATGTACTGGTCTACTGGAATTGATTAGATTATGTAATATATCCAACAAGCATGTGGTAGTGATGATGATGGTGGTGATGATGATGATGATGATGATGATGATGATGATGATGATGATGATGATGATGATGATGATGATGATGATGATGATGATGATGATGATGATGATGATGATGATGATGATGATGATGATGATGATGATGATGATGGTGGTGATGATGATGATGATGATGAGGAGGAAGAGGAGGAGGAGACAGATGATGATGATGATGATGAGGACGACAACGACGATGGTTATTGATGATGATGATGAACGCTTATAGCACTGGAATTGGCATTGTTCCTCTTCTAGGCACAAATAGCACTTGATATGATAATAATAATAATAATAATAATAGTGGGTTCTTACATAGCGCTCATGTCTGTCAGACTTGACACTCCTACAATGCAGGATTTTGTTGTCAACTCATACATTTGTAGGCCTATGTCTAAAAGAGTTCTCTATATTTTTTACATATCTACATTTAGGGTGTACATGCAGTGTACACCATGGCGCTTGAAACTACAGTGTGTCCCGAAAAAAACTATACACTTTTGAAATGGCTGCCGAATAACAAATATATGATTCTAGGGGGGAAAGTTATATATGTATGGAAAGCTCATATACTCAGCTTTCATATGACACCAAAAAGTTGCGAAAATAATTCATGCTCGGGTGAGCACTGCTCACTTTTGTAAAGGGTATGAAAATTTGGTTGCGCAGGAATTAGCCTTCCAATTTGTGAGAGGTAAATCCTTTGGAGCTTACGGAATTGAGGATGATATGACCAATTTATGATCAATTGTGATAAGTTTGGGTTTGCTGAGTGAAATGTTTGGTTTATGGGATTAACATTTTATGCATGACTTAACAGGAATTGCATTTTTTATTGTAGCACTGTAACTTCACTGGTAGACTCAGGTGTGTTTATGGGAGTCAGGATGGGGTGATGGTACATGTTGTAATTTCCATGTTACAAACTGTTATTCTCTTACATCTGTGACTTTGAATAAAAAATTAAATTCCTGTTCCGTGCATAAAAGTTTGGTTTAATAAACCATGAAATTCACTCAGCAAATCATGAATGTATCATATCACCGTCAATGTTGTAAGCTCCAAAGGATTTACCTCTCACAAATTGGAAGGCTAATTCCTGCGCAACCTAATTTCCATACCCTTTACAAAAGAGAGCAGTGCTCACCCAAGCATGAATTATTTTCAAACTTTTTGGTGTCATATGAAAGTTGAGTATATGAGCTTTCCATACGTATATAACTTTTCCCCCTAGAATCATATATTTGTTATTCGGCAGCCATTTCAAAAGTGTATAGTTTTTTTCGGGACACACTGTAGTTAAAACTTAACATACATACATGTTAGTTAAATGTATGTAGTGAGCATCTTGTGCATCATTATACAAAGTTCACAAACAATGTTTCTTTACAGTTGCAAATGTTGTTGGGAAAAAATAACTACCATAGTTTGCTGTTCATAAGGTTAAGTCAGTTGGTGTCCTCTTACAACGAAGTGATGTACAAGTGTATTATGTTTGGGGAATGATCTCGATAGTTAGTGAGCAAGCACAATTGAAGACTTTCAAGCACATAACAGGCAGAGTCTAGCCAAATAAATAATCAATAGATGCTTTGTTTGCCTTTCTAACACTGCATTGATTAAAGCAGTCAGTAGAACAATTGACATCGAAGGCCAATAGGTTATTCAGTCTTTAGCGGTAGATGCATTATTAAACAGACAAAAGGTAATGAAAAATGTAACACTCAATGCCTATGGCCATAAAAGTATATACCTGTACATGACTACATGTATGTTTATGCCGTGACTGCATTTTGATATCAGCTCTCTGTTTTGAAATCAAGATGGGATGCCTATAACGTTTTGGCCAAAATGTGCCTCTACATCTAAATATTTAATTCTGAAAGTAGTATGATTTATAAAAAATGTACATGTAATAGAAAGATATATTCAAATGTTTCCCTATCAAGATCATGTTTTCTTAATGCAATGTGGAGACCATTCTGTCCATGAATTCCTCAGTCCAATTAGGGATTCAGATAGAGATTGTGATAAGAGTATCCAATGTCATATACCGGTACATGTAAAGAATCAATAAACATGCAGTATAACAGTGAGTGACTCTCTATGAAATTTGGATAGATACGAGGGGAGACTTGAAAATAGAGGTTGTTGTTGACATTGTACTCAGAAAGATCTCTTGGAATAAAAACTATAAAAAAAGACACATACTATTGCTACTGTAAATGACAAATTTCATATAAAAAAAGAGCTTCAGGGCAATTCCACGGTAACGGAAGGACACTCAGACAAGATTTTTGAACTTCAGGTTCATACTAAAAGAACTGTTTTATTAGTATAAGATGTGAAACAGTACAGATATAATACCTATATAAGTGCCTTTAATTTTCACACAAAAAATTGTCATTATAGTTAAGTAGTTTAAGAATGTGCATATTAATTATCTCGGTAACGGAAGGACATAAAAATGGACATGGTTTTTCCAGTTAATTAGTGTTTATCCAAACTTTGTGAAGGTGATGAAGCTTCCCACTTGACTGAAACACATTTTGTTCCCCATAGTTTAATACATACTATAAAACATTTCTTTTAGTAAGAACCTGAAGTTCAAAAATCTTGTCTGAGTGTCCTTCCGTTACCGTGGAATTGCCCTTCAGTTAACAATATGGTAATTAATCTACCGGTATACCAAGTCACCTCTATAAGCCCTATAGTTCTGCAGATCCCTTTTTATTTAATTGCTTTCTCTCCAAGTTTGCTGTCTTAATTGATTTGAGTTGATTACTATGGATATTAATTAAACAGACAAATATAAATATCGCTTACTCATTAAGGTTGAAAAGGCTTGTTTAATTGGAGAGTGCATTTACTATATCCTTGAGGGAAATATCTAATGATACAAATGTCACTTCATGATGTTCAAAGTCTTTCCTGGGGATACAATTGACCTTGTTATGCCTGTAGAAAAAGAGTATAACAAATAGTCAATTAATTCTTATTACAACACTCCTTTCAAATTGTGTAGAGGTTTGATTTATAATTGGAATTTAATGAACAACTGGTACATTTACAATATTGGTTGAGCATCTTTTTAATGATCTAACTGGAACCCACCAAATATTTCTTTTTAGTTACCTTCTTTACTTGTAATTTGCACTGTTTCATGATCCGAGAAAGCATGGATACACAAACAGACACCAGCGAGACTAAAGCCATGGATCTTTCAGATTCGATGGGGCAATTGACACAATGAGTAAAAGAGGTGTTTACAAATCTATGCAACTGTCTGAAGATAGAGTCAACAGTTTGTGTCCTCAACATGTTTATGTTGCCATAGAAGCAGATACTACAAAGACCCCAAATAAGCTAGAAATACATTCATGATACTATATTTTCAGCCGCAGTGTATACTGATCATCATGTAGGCCTAGTACTATTTGATGTTGCATTAATTTTCTTAATTTTCTTTTACTCTGTTATATTTGTCGTTTATTTTATACTACAGTGGTGATCTAAAGCATCCATTTAATTCAAAACAGCCTAGTATATGGTAAAACTATATTTAAGAGGTGATGAATGACCCCTTCGTCTCCCTAACCACCACAATCCCCCCCCCCCAAAAAAAAAATAGTTATCTTTTTTGTAATCTTCTCCATATCCAGTTATGGAAAAGGGACATTCGAAAGAGATAACATAGTTATACATGTACATTGTCTTGTGAATTTTGATATCACCCATATAATTGTTGAACTTTTGCAGAACTACGTGTAGCTCATATTTTCAAGGTAAGCAGTAAGATATTGAAGTTCATGTATTGTTTTTAAGAACAAATGTGATACCACAGACTTCAATGAAAATTTGTTTCACGTACATGTAGCAAGGTCTCCTATAGCTTATGGCCTTTGAGCTGTTTTGATGTGGAACAACTTTATTATTTTGTACTTGGACTATATTATCAGCCACCTCATACAAACTTAATATACCGTGGACAACTTAATAATAGTGTACAATGATCCGAATCGATGGAAAACCCATTGAATTGGACAGTTTCCCACGCTTTTTTGGAAACACTATATTCCAAGGTGGGTTATATGATACACCAACCATTTGTCATCATTTGCATACAAATGGGACTTAGACAGTTCTGAATGGCTCTGGGAGGTTATGGGACTATTGTTTGGTAAAGAAGGTCTGTCTTGCTAAGAAGCGAGTGATGAATGGATGGCTGAAAGAATTTGTTTCATTGCCCAGGAAACTTCCTGCTTTGTAGAGTATGACTCAGACGAACAAAAGAGCTTGTTTTCAAGAACTACTTCAATAATCTTGTAACTTTTATATTTAAGCTTAAAGGAGCTACACAAAGAAAAATTCACTACAACTGATAATTAGAACAAATTACATATGGATAGAAAGATTTTCTCTTGAAAAACACGAATAATTTGCTGAGAAATCATATAGATATCATGGAAAGGCGTAAAATGCAATTTTTCAAGACCCTTCTTAGATCCCCAAACGCCCCTGAACGTAAGCCAAACACACGAGCGTAGCGAGCTCTGAATAGTGACGTCACACACTGGACAAACAGCTCAGTACCGGCCACCTACCAAAGTCGCGGGTGTATTAGTCTGCAGCAAGCCAGCCGTGTCCCGTGTGTGACGTCACAAATATTGACGCTCTACAAAGGATCACTGAAGGCAGAAAATCTGGATCTCGAAACTAACAATTTTTAGAGTTGATTACTGCGGGCCCCAAACAAATTTTGAAGAGGAGAAGTGTTGTATTTGATCAGTAAGGCTTCCCCCTTCGCAATGATATGAGTTTTGCATCAATTCAAAACACTTTTGATTATTCGTGTGTCTACTCTAAGGTAGATTCTTTTCCTTGAGAAAAGTAGCACATTTTGTATTATATTGTAAATGCCAGTCACTTCTTGTACATTCAAATTGAAATACGTGCTATATATACCCATACTGGCAAGCTACATGTATTTCTGAGTTATGAAGGAGAGGAAAATAAGATTAATTATTGTCAATTTGAGGAGGGAAATCTGGTAAATTTAAAAAATAAGAAAATAATCAACTGCTATAATGAGTTAAAATATCTATAGGTTTACAGACATTGCCTACTCATCAATTCTATAGCTTTGTAGTTTGGTTGACCTTGCTTGCTTTAATCCTGATGATATGATAAGTTTAAAGATATGTACAAACATCCCAGCCCAAAATTGTAAAGTGGATTGCAAACAGATATATTTGCAGTTTGATAGTTTCAAAGGGCAGACAGTGTATCTTGCAATTGCCCTTCACAACTTCACTATTGAATTTATACATGGAAACTTTTTGACCTGTAGGCGGCAGTGAAGTTTTTTATTACAATTACATAAATGTAAAATTAATAAGTTTCTTCAATGACTAATTGAATGATACTTAACTGAGTTGACTCTCAATCCAATGATTGAGGATTCAATTCCAGCCTGGCCCTAACATCTTTTGACAATAGACATTTATTAATTCCACATTTGCCACTCTACACCCAGGTGTAGATAAGTAGGTCTACCTGGCAATTGATTAGGTAATAACAGTTGCAGGCCCCTCAGGAAGAACAGCATTGATGCTAATGAGGCTTCCCTGGGTAATTCACTCGCTTCATCTTCGTTCATTTTCATGCTGTTAATAAATCTAGTTTTAACATTTCCTTTTGATAGCAGTCATCAAAATCAATCGAGCAAATTAATATTTTTATTCTTGTTTCTCCTCTCATCATCTAAAGGAATTGCGGATGCTGACATCCCGCCCCCACCCACACATTCCCCACCCCCCGTACCCTCCAGGACCCCGCCCACCTTGCCCACCTCGCCCACCTCGCTCCATTCCGAGACGGAGATTGGGAACTCGTCCCTGCCCTCCAAGGAGTCACAGCATAGACGAGCTCGATCCCGAGATCGCAGCAGGAGGAAGAAGGGGACAAAGTCGAGGGCATCGTCCAGGGCGATCTCGCTGGATAGAAGTCAGGTGGTGATATCAAGGCCCGAGAGGGAGAGCGTGGAGGATAGCAGAGACTTTCAAGTCATGATGAAGAGGATCAATTCTGTTTCGGCATCTTCACCAGGTAAGCAAATACTTAAATGTTTTTAAGCATTTTCAAAATATATTTTGATGAAGCTTCAATATTATACGGATAGAATGCATGAATGCTTGAGCACCTTTTCATGGGAGCTCGGTTAAAGCCGGGGTAATGATTTGATTGCAAGGCCCTCAGGGAGAACAGAGTGTAAACTGATGAGGCTACCCTATAAAGTAAACAAGACATATTATTATTATTAGAATTAGAATTAGAATGTATGGTGTACCTGCAGTCGTGATTTATTTCAAAGAGCTCTGCGCAATGTACATTGGCATACATGCACTTTAACTTTGAAAAGACAACTTAAATGTAAAAATGAAATGCATGTCATCTGGGCCTTTTCTTATAAAAAAGTTACAAACTGATCTGAATCAGTCTTAAGTCCCCACTCAATCACAAGTCAGTATCAAATCCAATGGCGGGAGACTAAAAGGATATACAGTAAATTAAATAAATTAACTCTTTCAAAAGAATATTCAAACCAAATCTTTATTCTTGCACTACGGTCATTTATTTCTATTACTGTATTTCTTATGATTTTCACATCTCTTCAAGTCGTCTTCAAATCATCTTCAGTCATTTATTTCTATTTCTGTATTCATTATAATTTTCACATCTCTTCAAACGACTTGTACAGTTATTTAGTTTACCCTAAGTAAATGACTCTCATTTAAAGTCTAAAGTTGAAGTAGCTTAGAAACTTCTCCAGCTAATTTTTTTTACAGTAAAAAGGTTATTTATACACTAGGCTTAGTCATCAATTAGGCTACATGTACATTTGTACAATGTATTACAGCTCAATATATATTGTTGTTATTATGAAGTCATGCATATCATGTTGTAGGATGTTGCCGACTAATGTTGCCGACTAATGTTGCCGAATAAATTAACTCTTTCAAAAGAATATTCAAACCAAATCTTTATTCTTGCACTACGGTCATTTATTTCTATTACTGTATTTCTTATGATTTTCACATCTCTTCAAGTCGTCTTCAAATCATCTTCAGTCATTTATTTCTATTACTGTATTCATTATAATTTTCACATCTCTTCAAACGACTTGTACAGTTATTTAGTTTACCCTAAGTAAATGACTCTCATTTAAAGTCTAAAGTTGAAGTAGCTTAGAAACTTCTCCAGCTAATTTTTTTACAGTAAAAAGGTTATTTATACACTAGGCTTAGTCATCAATTAGGCTACATGTACATTTGTACAATGTATTACAGCTCAATATATATTGTTGTTATTATGAAGTCATGCATATCATGTTGTAGGATGTTCCTTAACATAACAACCTCTGGATAATACCTACAGTGTAAGTAAAACCTATTCATGTATAATATGAGCAACTTCATGTCACAATTAAGAAATGGACCAAATTCTGCTTCTGCTTGTATGATTATTTGTTATTTCCTTTCGTTGTTTGTCTAAGCATTCCATTTGTGTTTATGTGAGACCACTAGTTCCACAATGCAAAACTAATTTTTAGAATATTATTGTGCAAATTCAGTGATTGTTAGTAATGTCCTTCAGTTTGCAACCGGTATCTACGGTTCACAGAGAATAAGTCAGTGTTGAAAACCAGTGAGCAAACATTGATTTTCTCACCACTAGACAGGATGATTTTAATCTGATTTGTCATGGCTTTTTGAATCTGTCAAAAATAGGCTAAAGTTAAGAAGGAAATTGTAATAAATGAGGTTATTGGGGAGAAATCGAGAAAGTTTTGGACTATGATGGGCCTATAGATGTATATTTTTTTGCAGCTTTTCAGACAATACAGTAAATGATTTTTTTTTACAAAATGTATCTGTCAATGATTTTATAATGTGATTTATCAATTATAGTAGAATTGCTTTTGAACAATATTTTACATTTTACAATATTTTACATTGAAGAAATCAGATCAATACAATTTTTGTTTAGGAGTACTATACTATTTTTTGTAGAGAATAATAATGTGCAAAGTTTCTGCATAAAAATTCCCCAAAATAGGTTAATGAAGTTATTAAACTTCTCTTTACAGTAGTGCTGTAACATCACGGATATCTCCAATTCCGTTTAACCGCCAGTCAAACCGGACGGTTTTCGGTTAAACGATTAAAAAAAAAAAAAAAAAAAAAAAAAAGGTCCGTGTGAAAAAGCGGGAAGGCGCCGATTTGTGCTTGCGAACTTGTCACAAATAATAGTAACAATGTCATTTTTAGAAGAATGTGTAAGATCATTAATGTAAATTAAAAACAGTAGAGGACCTAGGATAGAACCTTGTGGTACGCCTAGTGTAAAAATTGGATGAATATTATTATAAACTACATATTGAGATCTATTACAAAGATACTTTCAAACCAAGATGACAGACAAATTGGAGTGTTGTTCTAGTTTCAGAGTGGTGAGTCAACACACAGATTACTGAGCTGGGAGACATTGCCAGGCACAGTGCCAGGTGGAGGGGCATAAATCTTAACTTAAAAAAAAAAATTAAAAATTAAAAAAAAAATTAAAAAAAAAAAAAACGGGAAAACGAAACCGTCCAATTGAAAACGGAATCTGCCATGGGCGGTCGAATACCGGATGGTTAAACGTTTGACTACAGCACTACTTTACAGAATGATAAATGTAAAAGTATAAATTTTCTTTAAATATAAAGAGAAATAGATTTGATTGTTGGTACCATTATTTAGATTACACTGTTACACAACAGGGACAAAAATAGAAATTTATTATTTTCTTTACCCATTGTCTTTTTTCCCACCATGCATGTAGATGTAACTAATAATGTGTTTAATGAGATTCAAATCACTGATGGAAATATATAGTTTTTGATGGTACTATTTAATCAATATTATATTGATAATGATACCCTTACTATTTTACTTTCATCAATATCCATAGAAAGCCTACTTGTCAAATGTATTGCATTCACTCTGGTTTTATATGCATGATCTGCAATAGTTGAACCTCCGATCCTCACAGCAGGCATCGAGTGAGCGGGCCTTCCTAAAGTTCTTTTGATCTATTTAATCCAACCATACAATGCCACCTGCATCTTACGACATGAATTATAAACAACTAGTGGAAGAAGGATATTTGATCATTTTATTCTGTCCTAGCCTACCCCAAGGGCCCCCTCTAGAAAGGAGAATTAAGATAAAAACTGAGCAACTGTCAAATGAAATCTTTGATTGATGATCTATTTAGGTTGTAACTATTTCTATTGTGGGATTTTTTTCTCAATTGGGTATACATGGGTAATCATTCAATGCAGGTCAAGTTGACATCAATTGTTTTGCAGCAAGGAAAAAGAGGTTTAGCGAATTGACCCATAGGCCAATTTCACAGTTTATTATACCCCAGACCTGAACACTCCTGATATAACACTCTAAAACTAGTGAAAAAGGTCAGAACTACAAGAGGTTGAGAAAAGTTGTCAAATGAATTGTTTTTACTTCGCTGAATAATAATGTATAATAGTCGGGACTTACGTAGGACCTAAGTCACCTAATGCATTAATAATTTCTCTTAGCATTCTACTGCTATTCTTGCATCTCATCAAATGTCATGTACACACTTATGGGCACAGTAACATGTTTCTAAATTTAGCCAGCAAGCAAGCGAGCGAGCAAATAAAGAATAGCATCTACACGATGGTATAACAATGTTATTTTGTTTAAAAATACACCAGATATAAAATTATGTATGTGGGCACCTCCTGTCAAAGGCATGAATACAACAATCATGTATTGGGTCACCTCGATACACTATGAGGTTGTTTGGGCATCTCATTGCCCAGAATTATCTTGTTTATTATCAAACGAGTGAAACAAATGAGAGTGGTTGAAATGTTATTTCAAGATTTGAAGAAAAAAAAATTACAATATATATTCAGGCACCTTGCTGTCAAGTAGAAGGATATTAGAAAAGAGGATATAATAACAAAACTAACTGAAATTGCTGGTTCATACAGCCCCACAAGATATGAGGATTCTAAAGTCAAACATTATATGGGATTAAGGACTTACGACATACATGTACATGTATGTACAAATATCCTCTCAAGCTGAGTTTAGTGCAATTAAGGGTCGGAATGAGGGTGCAAGGGTTGGAATGCATGCCTCGTTGAAGTGCACTTAACATTCAAGTGATTACTGTTATCAGTAAAACCAGGAGCAATAATAACTTCATTGCCACTGTTTATTTGATCGTTCAGTCAAAATCGTGTTCTTAAATGCCATTTCAGGCAAACATTGAGTATTGAGATGTTGACATGCTGCTTTGTTTCCCAATACCATTATGAAACTTGATCAACAAAATGTTTGGAAACATTCAGCAAATATAATCAATGATTTGCCTCATTTAGTTTATTTGTGTACATTTTTAAAGAAAACGATACACAAGATAAACACACAAAATACAGCGTTATACATGTACTTTGTCTAAATTTTATTAACAAAAGTAACTTAGTTTCACCTTGGGCAGAAAGGTGCTTCAATACAGTTATTAACTCTAATGGTTACCGTAATATAATTTCATAACCTAGTTTTCAAAAGCGGTATAACATGTAAGTGTGAAATATTATAGTGCATTGTTAAAATAATGGTTTACCAATTTATGTGATGCTGTTTACAGTATCCCCACAGGAAAGGGAATATTTCTCTCAGTTTGGAGCAACTCCATGTAAGTTTTCTGCAATTATAGTTCTTGCATGTTCTGTTCTTGTCATTAAAGCTAACTTCATCTACATGTACTGTAAATCATTATCACTCAATGCATGAATGTATCATCAACCGAACATAATGACATTAATCAAGTTGCATGCCCTCTCTGAAGTGTTTTATAGTCAGATGTTGAAAAAATGTTGTCTTACTATTTTCAGTTATTGTGATTCACATCAGTTTTGGTTGTTGCTGTTTTTGATCAACAGTAATTGTATATACATATACAATCATATATATCATAGTTCCATGTTTGCTATCATATTAGGGGTTTTATTATAGGAATGGTAAAAATTGGATCCTGCTGTATTCCTCAATGGAGAAATTTAGGATCATTGTAATTTTAGGGGGCGGGTGTGTCATTTGGCCCTAAAGAATTTTAATCAGTGTCTCCATGTAGCTTTGTTGCATACATTGTAGATGATCCTGGGGACCTGAGCTCATATCTTAATAGTATCTATCTGTATATTAAACAGAACTGTAAGTTCTTTCCTGGTCTCTTTTTTATCTTAAATAATTAAATAATAATCAAATAATCAGTGACACTAAATAAATCAGCTTTCCTTTAGATGATATCAAAGACATTCTCTAATGGTCATGTGTGAATGCATGTATTAACTGTTTGAATGCATGATACACCTATATTTGTTTTGTAACATTACATGTACATGTATTTGGTAAATTGTTATTTGTTCATAATATCAAAGTGACAGCACGCTACATGTACAGACATGTACATAATCACTAGATCATTCATCTAAATACATCATACATGTCTGTACATCTACCTCTAGCTAAAATGTGCTGGAATAATTGCTGCCTCACATGAATTTTACATCTAATGTCAAGATATAAAAGCATGTTTAAATGTTCCATTTTTCATGATATTTTGAGATTCAAAATCTAATACGACCCAAGTCACTTCCTTATTCTTATAGATGTGTGCTATGTGTTTAACTGCAGTCATTTACATGCGTCTCTCTCCGATTTGAATATATTGAATATAACATTTCATTTATGGTCTAACATGTTTGATACAGGTACATATAATAAACAGGTACATGGACATTCCAAGCTCCCCTTCATTTAACAAAACAATTGATTTTTGTAGACAAGGTGGAACACACAATTAACAAATATTCCCTCGGTTAATGTTATGTGTTGAAATTCACACAGTGGTCCTGACTGAAATTCTTTCAATTCTTCCCGTTTCTATTGACAATTTGTCAGATTCCAAAGGTTATTTGTTGAGAGTGATGACATTGTGATGTATGCATTCACATGGCCAAGTAAAACATGGTGGTTTCTAATCGTATTTGCATAGACTTTGAGCCAACATGGAATATAAAGAATTAGTCATTGAAGTAACAATCAAATGTGCTATATCTCTAAAGAGAAAACAGAAACCTATACTCTAATATGCTGTATATTTCCACATTTCCATATTGAATAATACAGTCGAACCGGAATAATTATCAAAAGACATCTCTCTCAATATTTGCCTTTCATTACCCATTTTCATGGTTCGATTATTTTGTATAAAAGACTTCTTCCAAACAAGGATTTTTCATTCTACAAACCTCATACATACTCCAGAGTGCATTGTTCAGAGTTGTCATGATGAGATGATTTGGTTGAACACTTTTGTGACTGACAATAAGAAACAGGGGAAGAAATACACAGGGCTCAGGGCGAAATGAGCCCCCGAAAGTAAAAAAAAAAGAGCCCCAAAAATGTGCATAGAGTTCAATGCAAACCAAATTAAAGAGTGTTATTTTCATGCAAGCAAGCTTGAAAAGTAGCCCCTGAAATGTTTTTATTAATTTTTTCCCTGATAAGAAACAAGAACTTGAAAGGGGTTCATGAACTTTGAGGTACATGTATGATTGTTTTCTCCAGAAAATTTCTCTTTTCCTTTTCAAAATAAATGGAATCAACTTCACAATGCTCTTAATTTGAATCGCTATTTGTATGAATAATGAATAAACCCAATGTGAACAGTTATTGCCTCATTCCATGTATTCAAAGATTTATTGAAATTGATTTAAGTATTTTTGCATTTTTCCTCCAATTATGACATCTCTTTCAATTTTTAAAAAGAGGATGGCAATTTTTTTTGTTGATGAGCAGGTCTAAAAGTATTGAGCAGGTATTACATTATGTTTTGATGTTTTGTTCACTTTAAAATGAAATAGAGGGAAGGCTGCTTGATGTTTCTTTACAAACCTTTATTACCAGCGATTCAAATGTATGGTTTAACTTTGGATACACCTGTAGGTCTTAATCTTGAAAATGAGCATCCCTTTTCAGGTACTGCAAAAGTTGAAGCTATAATTACTTCTGTATTATGTAAAACAGAATATTTTGCAACATACTAAGAACATAACATAAACTTTCACAATTTTGTTATGAATAGCTGTTTTCACCTCTGGATAACTCATAAATTGGCATGTCTTTCTCTTACTTTTGGAAAGGAGATAAAATGAATACATTAGCAAGAGTGTTTTTCTACATTTTACATTCATTTCATACACATTCATTTGTATTTGCACATGTACCTTTATTTGATTTTGCACCCATAGTACACTGTATACTTTAATATGCATGCTCTGGGAGATGGATGATACACTGTACCTATCATCATTTTCATTTGAAATGAAATTCACCTGTCACTGTTGAATTTCAATTGAAATCGCAGGACATCTATTCATATTACTTTCCATATTATTATGCATATCATATCTCCAGTGTGTGTGTGTGTCATCATTTGTATTCCAAATGTGTGTATGATTTAATTAACGTACTCATGTAGAAGATGAATGAATGAAAAGCGATGGAGCGGTACAGATCTGCATTTCATCATCATATTGGTATTTGTTTCCAGATCCATGGAAGGACCTTACATAAATATTCATGGAAAAAGATGCTCTTCCAATAGTCAAGGAATGAAATTACATGTTGGAAGCTAATTTTTAATTGATATAGCATGCAACCTCCTCCCTCATAACACACTGTCTGTATGTTATCTGTTCAGAGCCTGTAGGGCATTAACTCTGTGTTAAAGCATATGATTGAACACCCTTATGGCTCTAAACAGATGATATTTTTTGTTGGATATTAATTTGCTACAGATATTGGCTTATCAAATACAATTTTGCAAGGATATTGTAACAAAAGCTTAATGCATGAACCCCAAATGCATGTGAATACCTGCATAAAAGAATATTTCCTTTGACCTCAATGCTATAACAAATGTAGTCACCTACTTTTTGTGGCGAGACATGTTTATGAAATAGAATGATGAAAACTCATTTAGTTAAAGGTAAAGACCAGTTTTGGAAATGCCCCAATTTCAAAAAATGAAATGGAAGCTCTCATTACCAATCATGTGAAAAAATATGTTTTGACTAATACATGATGATAAAAAAATTTGCCGGGAAACCGCCTACTAATTCATATATTTGGTAAATTTGTTTCTCTCATGGTCTGTGAGAGATATAGGGTAGTCCCATATACATCTTTCTGTGTATAGTGCTTGTAACTTTACGAAGAATGGGCCAAATTTCTTATCATTTTGATGATTCCAGAACCTTGCAGATGCTAGATGCTAGATGATCAACCTTTTCTGATTGCTTCCACAACGCTTCTTTCACAATGCAATCGAATGACCATAACTGGTCTTTACCTTTAAATATTAAATTGTGAAAGAAAATGAAATGATTCTTGTTTATGTTTATGAATTACTCTTCTGATTTTCAAAAGTCAGCCAAGAATTCTTTGTTTCAAATTGTCTTTCAACATTATAATTAAATGAGTATTTTTCACGCAAGCCGTTTTCGCTAAATGTATTGTTTTTATTTAAGAGCGTGTGGTGTTAAAGCCTTGCAAACATCTCCAATTACATGTTTGCTGTGTTTTTTAAATATTCATTACGTATATCATCTTGTTTTTACTTCGCGGCTTATCATTTCTTATGTTTAAGACCCAAATGTAAGTTTATGCTTGTGTGGCAATTTCTGTTCAAATTTTGTTCAGCAAGTTATTTCAAAACCCTTTTCCGAACCTATTTTTCACTGCTCTGACAAACTACTGACATTGACTACTTCCCACATGCAGCCGTAGGCCGACGTGGACTGGAGAAGCGCGGAATCAGTCCCATGCGAAATGGAGCACGAAGTGGGTCAGTTTCCCCCACGTCATATCGTCGTCATCTACTGGGAGAGGATATGCCTCTTTCTGAACTATCGCAGAGTGAGAATTTGATTTTTCTTTATGCATAGCAATGCTTGCTGTAGTAATTTGTAGTTAACTCCAATGGGTTCTCTCTCTCTCTCTCCCCCCTCTCTCTCTCTCTCTCTCTCTCTCTCTCTCTCTCTCCCTCTCGTTGTCTCTCTCGGTGTCTCTGGTTTTGTCTAAAAGTTCTTTTTACCTGTCTTCTTTTGCTTCTCTTTTCTATTTACACTCTTTCTCCGCTATCCTCTCTGTCCCTTTTCTGGAAATGATACTCTTTTCCCTTTTTTATTCTCATTTTTTTTTTTTTGGGGGGGGGGGGGAGGGGGCACGTACAGGTATATATGTATATTTTCCTTTTTTCACTTCTTAAATCCTTTCGTTCTTGGGCTCCCTTAGAATCCTTTCCCCTTGTTTTTTCTTTGTACAGTAGTGTATTTCATATTGATATTGGCTGCAATTTGTTTGTATGCTTGCAAGCTTCACATGCTTTAGAAATAGGGAAATAGTATGTACTGTGCATGTAAGTCAAACATGAATATAGCTTTTCTGTTGTACATGCATCTTCAAATCCACAATGACTGGAATTTAAATTTGAAATAAATGGGATTATACTTGAACTTCATGGATCATGAAATTTGATGTTTCATGAAGTTTGTGAAAAATATTACTGGGGCTTTTATATTCTGTGAGATATCTCAAAAAAACAAATATGTGAATACTTTATGTTAACTCCTCTAAATGCTTGTTAGAACTCTAATTAAAATGCCTTGCTTTTCTCTTTAAGCTTTTGAATAAGTGCAGTATGTATATTATACTCAAATGAAATGTCTTGCAACCTTTTCTTGTTTATTTATTTCTCTTTGCTCTGTATATTATTTTCTTTAATGCATTAGGGCCTGGAAGTAAGTAAAAAAAAAAACGTTGTCCTTCTGCTTTATTTTCATCATACATCTCCATGCAAAGTTTTCCTGTGGATGCCATTCTTTATATTCCCATATTTCATCACAATGCATTTCAATGATTGTTCTCTCTAGCTTATCAGCAAAATTATCATTGGGTTTCATCATGTATTCTTGTGTATTTTATGCTTTCCAATGCATTTCTACATATTCATAGGTGATCACGTGTACTGTTATATTTTTATGTTTTCCCTGTGTTCATGCTTATTCTTAGGTATTGTGCTTTAAATTTGAATTTCATATCCTTTTCCTGGTTATTTTATTGCATTTTTCTTATGCTTCCCAAGGTCATTATTTTTCACATATTTCAATCTCTTTTTTTCTGCATTATTATTGGCTTTGAAGTGTCTAAGTTTGTCAATATTCTTATAGTTTACATATCTTCTCTCATTTTTTGCATAATGATTGTGGGTTTTGTAATGGTTTTGAAGTGTCCCAAATTTGTCAATATTCTTATAGTTTACACATTATCTCTCATTTTTTGCATAATGATTGTGGATTTGGTTTATAAACCTGTTCCATGAACAGATTATCATTGTAATATATCATCATTGGTTTCTGGTTTACTTTTAGCATTTTATTTGCGCTAGTTTGTGAAACCAGTGATAATCTATTTATATTTACAATTATGCAAACATAATTTCTCTTTGTGGGTTCGCACCAAATTTATGACAATTTTTCGGCAGGGAAAAGGCCAGAAAGCATGGTAGTATACGCATGCCATGGGTGCAACCATTGAATCAAATGCGCAAACAGGTATTAAACAGATTGATGCACCCTAGCTGCTGTATAAGTATGGAAGGTAGCATGATCTTAGGTGCGGATCGAGGGGGTGTAGCTATCGCTCCGGACTTAGTCCAGACTTAATCCTCTTTGACAGTGAATATGACATGGTTATAGATTACCTTTAGAATTCTATAACACCCTCTACACATTGAATCACTACTTTATGAGTATGGTCGATGGAAGCTCATAAGCTACATGTAGTCGTAGCATTCCCTGAAAAGACAAAGGTGATCAGAAAATGATAGCATGTTGGAAGTACATTTGATTTAAATATGTTTTAATAATAAAATAATAATAGCCAGTTCTTATATAGCGCTTTTCAGGACCGAAGGCCCTCTCAAAGCGCTTTACAGATATATATATTATTACCCCGGTCATAGGATTCAGGCTTACCCGCACACAATGTATGCACATTCTCCACTCCCTGGGGAGCATTCCAGCCAGGCGTCTTTTTTACAAGCGCACACTTGCTAATCTAACCACATTAGCTTTCGCATCCTACCGGGTACCCATTTAACACCTGGGTGGAGAGTGGCAAATGAAGATCAATGTTTTGATGATGTAAAGTGTTTTTTTCTTTTTTTTTTTCTCCTTCTGTCAGCAAAACATGTAGTGACACGCATGATGCATATGACTTGCCTCAAACACTAGCAACAATGCTCTATTTTGGACAATACAAGTTTATTGCCATGTATCAACAGCCAATAAACCATGTCATATATAGCTACAATTTGCATGCAGATACACAGGTGCATGGAATTTTGTAACATTAGTGATCCTTGAATCATGTCCTATATATATTCCATACCATACTAATTCTAGGTTTGTCATGTTGTTTGTAGTCATGCATCAGTTGACAGTATGTGATAACACTACATTTAGTAATCATTTGTATAACATTTTGCTGCCATCTTATTGACAATCAAGATCTTTGTTGGTTTAATTTTTCATGTAGATAGCATAGTTTCTGCTGCGATATAAACCATTTATTTATACTCCATTGTTTATACCCAAGACCTGTGATGCTATTCAAGGCCAGTCTATGGTTTCATCATTTAGTCTTTTTGCCTGTCACTCTTGTGGGCCGTCAGTCTTGTAGCTGTCTGTCTTTTAGGCTGTCGGTCCCATGGGCTGTTGGTCTCATAGGCTGTTGATCTCATGGGCTGTCAGTCTCATGGGCAGTAGCTAACAGAATAAATTGTTCCCTTCCAAATTAAATACTCTTTACCCCATCTCATTGATGTAGTCGAGAAAGAACAGAAGGGAGGAGACAGCCGTAGATCATCCCTGTCCTCCACATCAGACACCCAGAAGTCCACCAATCCATCCCGTCGCCAAGCCAGGCCAACCTCTATGTATATGAATGGGTCACCAAGCTCTAAGGCTGATGATACATACTCAATGCTCATGGATGAATCTTCCAAGAGAGAAGCTGTGGAAAAAGAAAGAGACAAGTAAGTAAACATAAAATGATGAATTCAGTATATCCAACCCAAATCTGCTAAAATATTTTTACACATTTGGAGGCATATGCTCCTCCCCTATAATGTATTGCTGTATTTCAGGCCAGTTAAAGGTAAAGACCAGTATTGGAAACGCCCCAATTTTAAAAAAATGAAATGGAAGCTCTTATTACCTATCATGTGAAAGAGTATGTTTTGACTAATACATGATGATAAAAATTTTGCTGGGAAACTGCCTACTAATTGATATATTTGGTAAATTAGTTTATCTATTGATGTGTGAGAGATAAACGCATGTGTTGCACACGTGTGCGTAGTCCCATATACATCTTTCTGTGTACAGTGCTTGTAACTTTACGAAGACCAAGCCAAATTTCTTATCATTTTGATGATTCCAGAACCTTGCAGTACACACCAATACTTATATGCTAGATGATCAACCTTTTCTGATCGAGTCCACAACGTTTCTTTCACAATGCAATCGCACGACCATAACTGGTCTTTATCTTTAAGACTATTTTTTCTTATCATTTAAACTCAATCATGAATTGCAAAGATATTTTAATTTTAAACACAATAATATACTGTTGAAATGTTTGTGAGTGCAATATGAATTGATTTGATGAAAGTTGGTAAATATACAGGAAGAGAAACATGAGGTAAGAGGCAAACAAAGTTGCTAACCATTAAACATTACATTAGATGACAAACTTATGAAAGAAATTGAAAGAACTATGATATCAGTACCGGTACTCTAATATTTTCTTTGATATTTCATATCATATATATTTTAGGGTTGTACATTATATGATACATTTAATGATATTTTATATCACTCATTTTAGGGTTATACGGATGCATTATAAGGCCCAGACTGAACTACACAAGACAAAAGAAGATCTCAGAATAGCAATGGACAAAATCAACAGACTACAGGAGAATGAGAGGAGACTAAATCAAGAGTAAGAAAACACATAACAGTTGAACCTACTGTAGTGACCACCTGTCTACAAAGACCACAATTTTTGTTTCCCTTGAAAATGGTTTCTCATTGAAACATGTACCAAAGGAACCTGTACATCAAGACCACCTGTACATATAGACCACCTGCCTATAAAGACCACTTTTCTTGTCTCCCTTAGGTGGTCTTTATAGACAGGTTTCACATCATTACATTGATTGTTGATCTTGATGAAGTTGTTGCTTGATTAAGCCCAATTATATGCTGTTGAAATGAAAGGCACCCAGAGAATGTAATGCCTCTTTTTTTTTCCTGCTTCCTTTTTCATTGTTTTGGAACTTTCTACCTTCATCATTCCCACTGAAATAATCGCTCCCATGTTCCTATACATTAGCTCTAGCTCAAAGTAACTGTATGTTCTGCATATATCTCTTCTATAATGGCAGATTCAACCTATGTGCATTAGGATGACATAGAAATAATGGTTGTTTAAGTAATTCAGAATTATCATACTCCCCTCCTATCATCTTGATATCATTTTAAGTTTTAAGTTTTACCTTGAGAGTTTTTTTTTTTTTTTAGGCCGCCATCCTAGTCAAGCATCGCTTATGATTGCGGTCTCCTGCACTTTTTCAACAGATAGTTCGGATAATACTTTAAATTTATGATAATATGTTATGTAAATATCATGTTTCATTATTATATGTACATATATTATGTAAAAAAACATTGTGACATGAAGAAATTATTGTTTGTATATGTTGTATTATACCTTCATTTATATGTTCTTTGTTATTTAGTTATATTATATTTGGAAAAATGCAGAAATAAAATAAAATAAAATTATAATTAAGGCCCTTTCTTCATATTTTAGAGTAACCAAGCTGTCCTCTCACCCAGCACCCGCAAACAACAATGAAGCCAACGTGGTGAAGTCTAAACGTAACATCGTGGGTGATCTCCTGTACGAGTATGACAAGCTTTACTCTGATGATCGAGCCAAGGCGTGGGTGTCTCTCAACGTCATGTCAGAACAGAAGCAGTTTGAAGACAGTGATGACTTGAAGGATAAAGTTCTTTTCTCTGTGATAGTGGTAATAATAGTTATGATAATAATATTAATGATATCAATGTGATATTGATAGTAATAACCGTTCTTGTGTAGTACTTTTAATGTACTTTAAAGATACCAATTAAAGTTTTAGTGTCAGACATTTGCAAATCATAAGGATTAATGAACTAGAATGGTAAGTGAAGCAAAAAAACGTGGAAGTTATATACTATCAGGATACTTATCACAGGAATTGATATTAAATAGAATTTTAAAAAATCATGTTTTGTTTAACCTGTTGGAAAACATTCTGGTAAGCCAGCAGTCAAATTTGAATATCATGAAGTTGCATGTTCTTTAAAGTCTCAAACTACCCTGAACACTCATGAGGGATATATGAGAAGTGATGTAGTAGTGCTGCTTTCCACCCCCCCCCCCCCCCCTTCAGCTTGCCTTCAGAACTGTTAAGAACAACCTTAAGTCCATTCAGGGTGGAGTACAACAGCTACATACAGTAGAAATCCAACGTCAAGAGATAATGATAATAATAATGTTTGTATTAATTTGCCTCTCCACCCCCCCCCCCCTTTCAGCTTGCCTTCAGAACTGCTAAGAACACCATGGAGTCCATTCAGGGTGGGGTACAACAGCTATTGCAGACGTCCCACACCCAGGCAAACGGTGGTGAAGCTAGGGTCAACCATGGGAACAACCAACAGAAAGGAAAGACCAATGGAGAGTTGCTCCAATTCTTAAGAAGACTTGGGGATGGCTATGACCTGACTCCACTGACACAGGTAAGAAAATGAAACTTCTTTATATTAAAGGACACAACTCTTTGACTCTGTTTGGCATTTTAATGCAGCCTTTTAATAGGCCAAGTGATTTGTTTGTAGGATACAAACTCAAGTCATTTTAACCTTTTTTGTATGAAAAATACAAGCAACCCTTTATTCTTCTTCTTCTTCTTCTTCTTCAAGATAATCTGCCTCCTTCAATAATGAAGATTCTTGCAGATGCCGTATATACTCGGCCTGATGTGGGTGTGCAGGTGGACCACTACACCGGGGTTTCCCCTACTCTTATACGAATAGTGCAGTGGGTTCTTAACATGCAAGGGTGGTGACTCTCCTGTACATGGGGCTTCCATTCAATGTCCTCTCCTAGGGATGGATGACAAACCCTCTTATGTAAAGTAGTAATCCCCCTCCTGATTCCAAGTACCCCCTCTCTTGCTTTTTAAACAGGAGGTTGGAAAGCAGCTGTTTTCAGCCCTCTACGACTACCCAAAGCTGAAGACATCCGTAGAACTCAGCAACTTCATTGAACGCTGCGTGTCGTTGGCGTGGAGACTAACCATCCAGGACCCGCCCCTGACGATCACGTACGACAACATGACATTCAACTCGGACACCCACCAGAGGGCACCAGCCACTAACAGGAGATCGACGACGGTCAAGTCTTTCCTCTGGCCATGTCTAGTGGAAGAAAGCACCGGGTTATGTGTCTATAGAGGGGTTGTCTTGACATGAATCATCTGGGCCCCATTTCACAAAACTTGTCATCAGTGACAAACGACAGTTTTTGTTATAAGCTACTGAAATCCTTGCTTCTGATTGGTTATCAGCAGATTTGTCTCTGATTTTAGTCATTTGTCATTGAAAAATTGCTTTGTGAAACAGGTTCCAGGGACCCGTTTCCCAAAACTTGTCATCAGTGACAAATGACAGTTTTTGTTATAAGCTACTGAAATCCTTGCTTCTGATTGGTTATCAGCAGATTTGTCACTGATTTTTGTCCTTTGTCACTGAAAAAGGCTTTTTGAAACAGGTTCCAGGTGTATCATAATCTCTTGTTGTGTATCATCCATGTTTCTTCATGACATTAAAAATGAAATGTGTGTGTGTAGGGCATATTTTTTTTCAAAGAATAGTCCACCTTATAATTTCCAATTTTCATATTGACCTTGCTTCGAGTCTCTGGATTTCGTAATCATTGAGAATTTTAATAGGACCTCTACTCTGTTAAACAAAATGGTAACTCAATAACAACAAGTGTGAGCATCTTCTGATAAATATTTTGCAAATAGATTTAATGTTTAAAAGTTGATTGTACATTTAAAAGCAAAGTGGACAGGATGATTTTCTGTACACAGAAGTTAACTATTGTCTTGTAAAATATACAATTTTTTTTAGACTAGTCATATCCTTTTAAGATTCCATGGTTTCCTAGGCAACAACTGGCAGAATATCTCAAGTTGCTAGTACATAAATTGCAATGATAATCATACATTCTTTCACTTTTGATACTGTATTTTAATGCAATCGCTGGTGATGAAAAAATGGGCATTACATTTCTGCCTTTTTTTATTCAGTTCTTTCTCTCTCTTTATCTCTCTTGCTCTCTCTCTCTCTCTCCCTCCCTCCTCTCTCTCTCTCTCTCTCTCTCTCTCTCCCTCCCTCTCTCTCCCTCTCCCTCTCTCTCTCCCTCTCTCTCTCTCTCTCTCACTCACAGTCTCTTTCTTTATTTCTCCCCTTGATCTCTCCCTCTTTCTTTGATTCTCCATTTATTCCTCCTCTATTTCATCTGAAGCTAAATTTTCAGATCTTTTGCGAGCAAGCCTATCCCTGTTCTATGCATATTCAAGTACTTGTGTATTTACACATGGGACTTGTATAGTTTGAATTCTTCAATGAATTCCAATATGCTCAATATGAAATATGTTATAATATATGATATTTTAGATGTATATTTACCAGACATCGTATAAGACAACCAAATAAATATGTGTTTTTTAATCTTCTGAAATCAATATTTTGACATGGATTCAATCAAATCAAATCAGTGATGCAAAATGTAGTTGACACCTTGATTCCGGTAGTGCCTTTTGTATCTATTCATTGAATGCTGCTTTATATATTAACTTTTTATTCAGAGTGTTTGTATACAGTCAAAGGGAAGGTCCACACTAATACTTAGTTGGTTGTAATGAAAACAGTAAATGAAAAAAAAAATCTATGGAAGTTTAAGCAAAATTCAATAAAATATAAGCGAGTTATGGATAAGTTTTAATCAATCAAACACAAATTGACAATGCTATAAAGCATCTTGCGAGGTCCTTACCAGTTTGCCCTAGTACTGAAAATTTCATGGATTTACATTTTTTTGGATGTTTACGAAGGAATAGATTTGTTCCATACAAAGGTTTTATAAAATATCTTCAATGATTTTATCTAGGTTGGATGTATGATTAGCTATTTTCTTTAGAGAAAAAAACATTTCTCAATTTTGTAGTACAGAGCTAATGGGTCATAACCTCTAAAGATACGTCACAGAGTTGCCAATTTGTGTCTGATTAATTTCTGATTTTTTAACAGATTTTGCATGAATTTTCATCCATCTGTTTCTCAAATTTGTCTTTTTATGTTACTTCAAACTTAATATCAGTGTGGACATCCCATTTAAAATGTGATCTTCCAAAATATATTTTTATATCTGTATTCAAGAAAAAAGAAAGATTTTATACATATACCAGTTTTAGAAAATACCATTGTCATTTTATAATCGCTTCAATTGATACAGGTACATCATATCACAGGGTATTTATGTCTAATACACTGATTTGGAAGATTCCTAATCTAACAAATGGTATGAACATTTTTAGCTGCACGAATACGATAAAAAGGAAACCTGAATGTTTTCAACAGGGCCACGCCTCCAAAGGAGCGAGGCATAAGAACGCAAATACACTCAATTTTATGCATTAGACAAATATTGCACTTTTGTTGTTCAATATCAAATATATTTACTTCTAAATTCAGAATTTTCCTTGTGCCATTATATTTTAACCTCAGCCTGCAGCCTTGGGAATTTTTGGTTCATAAATTTTGTTGTATTAAATACGGGAGCATACAATATTTATATATAATATGTTTGTGAAAAGACATGTCAGTTTTACTTCCAATCAACTGAAAAGAAAAAAGTGTGTGTATCTTGAAGTATATATGTGTACAGTTTGATGATGCTCAGTTATTTTTTTTTTTTCCATATGTGGAGGAACAAGCAAATATATATGCAAATTTGATTATGCTAATTGATTGTACTGGCCATATCTAATCTTGTCATGGATGATATATTTTAGTTTCACTAACCACCTTTTAATAAGCTACAGTTCAAATATTAATTTCTTTTTTGGATGGGGAGATCCTTTTCTTTATATCTTACCAATATTTATATTTTTCTTTAATAGTTTTACAGTATGCTTTATTTGTAAGTTATACATTTATTTGAAATTGTTAGGTCTAAAATTTGCAAATACCGGTATGACAGTACAATGATTTTAATGATATATATCAATATTTTATTAATTTTTTCCTAGTTTTATTTCTTCAAATCGTGTTGTAATAAAGTCCATTGGCTGGTCCCATAGGCTTTATTATAATTATTTTTCGTCATTTTGCAGCAGCCAGTAATGTTATATAACTATGATATAACTATTGTATAGGAATAGTGACTGAATTTCAATTATTAGAACAAATTCTACCCAAAAAGTCTTTAATGAAATTGTGTTATTCAGATACTTGGATGCATGATTGAATGTCCTATTTGAGTTGTAGTAGCAGTTCGATCCTGCATTGTGAATAATATTAGACAATCTTATTTTTGTATAGAGTTACCATTAATGTGTACCATATAATATCAGTACTAACCATTTTAATATGTACAAAAATTATTGAACATGTATACTATTTTATCCTGCACATGCCTCCCTCTCTCGATAATGGCATAGCCTTATCCAATCTGAACTGAAATGAGATTTCAGCAATCAGCATTATATTATACACGTACTGCGTAAGATCACAATGACCACTTAATGTTAGTAGAAATGTAATAATTATGGACTTAGAAAGTGCTTAAGCTCCTTATAGATACTGTAATCTCCATGATCTGATTACAAACTGCACCATCATTCTATTATTGTATAATCCTATAGTGTTAAACCTTGGTCGCATCATGAGACTGAATATACTATAGACTGTTAATACACAGAACAAGAATAATTGTTGCAATGAATGGCCAAGAATCGGTAGGTTTGGTTGAGTGACAGAAGTGTAAGGTTATGTAAGTTTAATCATAGTGGCTTTCAGCACCACTGACCCCCCCCCCCCCCCCCCTTCCCTCAGAGAGTACCTAAGTACAGGATTAAAATGAAGATTAAAGGTACTATCTTATACATAGTCATGACTCATGAAAGGTCAATTTTTGTTAGAATTTAAAGAAAATTACCCCTAAAAGTGTAACGAAAAAAAGGGCAACTGATATACGTTTAGATGTTGATTTTCAAGAACAATTCTGTTTATACAACTTTACGTTTTACTCATAGCTATATCATAACTATGGAAGTCATTTCAGAAAATGTCCATACCAAAGTCATCACCCTTATAATCATGCTTCAAAAAAAATTTGGGGCTGATTTTTTTTCAAACATTTCTCATAAAAAGATGACAAGTATTGACTTGCCAAAGGAGATAAATTCCATGGGAAGATATGAGCTGGAACCTGTCATATCTAGTTCAAACTAAAAGTTGGATGACACATCCTAGAAACCCTTAAATCCCCTGATTTACTTTTTTATAAAGGTTCATGTGGTGGTATAGTCATCAGAGATTGACATTAATGTAAAGTTGCAAATGCTGCCATTGAATCAGTGCCAAAAGGGCATTATTTAATATCCTTTTGACTGACTTTTGTAGCCTTCAGTCATTATGATGTCAGCATTTGAAAGGAAAGTACTAGCTGTTCTTTGAGATACTTCTCTTTTGTCCAATAAATCGTCCCTGTTTTCACGAAGTGACAGTAGTGAGAAAAGTCGTCACGCAAAGTAAATGCAATTTTTTTTCACTACCGTCACTTCGTGAAAACAGCGACGAAATAGTCTCTTCCAATGCTCTGTTCAAACATGTCACAGTAAACTGTCTATTTAGAAACAAAACGCTGGTAAAATATAACCCATTTTGAGTGTAAATGAACGGCAAGACAGTGTGTTAAAAAATAAATATAGCTTCGTGCTTCAAAGACCCAGTATCATAATGTTCTGCCATGTCTGTGTGTTATATGCTACAGTAATATATCATTTTATCATGACATTTTTTTAATTATTATTATTTTTTTTTTTGGGGGGGGGGCGTTGTGTCTTGCATAAATTGAGCTTTAGTTGCATTTTGAAAAAAATCTTGCATGTGATATCCATTATTTGATATTTATTACGTTTTATTTAGCATGACTAGTTAAACAAGTATGATTTCTTATATATTTCATAGATTAGAAATGTAATACATGTAGTTCCATTTATTGTAAGTAAATGTGTATATACTGAGGATGTACAATTGTCATTTTACATAAACTAATTTGTATATGATTTGTAACCTTTTGTATAATTTGATTTCTCATGGCAAAGAAAGTATATGATGTTCAATAAAAGAATGGTGCAGGATTGCCGTTTTGTATGGAATGTATAATTTAATAAAAAGAGAAAAATATTAAATTGTCACTCCTCATTTCCAAGCCTTGATATATCCACTGGCTTATGGGGAGGGGCATTGGGTCTGTAGAAGCTCTGCCTCCCCCCCCCCCCCCCCCCCACACACACACACAAAGACCCATGCCAATAAAAAGAGAAAAACAGGAAATGGAAATAAGAAGACGAGAAGAAGAAAATAAGAAAGTGTATATAGGAGAGGTTGAAAAGGAAAGACTGAGAAGAAAGAAAGAAAGAAAGAAAGAAAGAAAGAAAGAAAGGATAAAAAGAAAGAAAGAAAGAAAGAAAGGATAAAAAGAAAGAAAGAAAGAAAGAAAGGAAAACGAGGAAATACTGACCGTTCAGGTAACCCATCCATATGTTTCTATTTTTAAATGCAACAGAACATTTTATTTACATAATCTTAAATATGGGGGATCTTTGCTTTCATGCATCATCATAATACTTCTTTAAAACTAAGGGAAGACAGGTCATGTAAAACATTTTACTGTGACTCGAAACATATTCTCCGGATTGGAATTACCATGCGAAATGGATATCATTATATTTCGATGTATATTAATATAGCGATTAAAACTCCACCATGTCCTGTTTCCACTAACCAGTAAATAGTGAATATAAAAGTAATAGAGCTTTTTCTGAATCAAGATCCCCCTTAAAGGTATTACAAAGTTTGGGTATGGGGTCATGAATTCGGTTCAAATGAACATATTGGAAGCATAATTATGCGATCCTACAATATTCAGTGATTGTAATTGTCGCGGTCGAAATCGAGTCTAAAGTGATGAAATTGTAAATTATAAACTCTTTTCGTTGTATAGCTCCCTCTCAAGGTCAAGATATTAATTTAGCTATAAAACAATGTTTCTTGACTCAAATCGACCGATTGGCTATTCCCATTTGGATATTATCACAACTACATATTCTGAGATTTTCACGGTCACAGCTACCATTGTATGGCCGTAGGCGCTATTTGAAAATTATCGAGATTTGCCGGGAGCACCGATAAATTTTGATATTCGATTTTTCTCGAAAGCAGAAGTGTTTTAGGAGCTAAATTTTCTAGTGCTTATAATACATCCACAGGGGCATCCAAATATTTCAAAATTGTAAAGAATCATTATCCAGTCAATTTTCAACTGATTTCCCAACACTTTGTAATACCTTTAATGAATAAAACTGCGCCATTATAACCAATCTGACCTCATGTGGATTGATGATTTTGTTGGCGAATCTCAAAAAGTAAAGTCAGATTTTAATAATAGAATGTCATCCGTTCTCAACTTACTCTTCAAGTCAATTTTATATAATGTTTACTGATTGGGTAGACGGAAGATGCCTTTTATCTATAGTTGGCAGGGGCACCTTTCCCCTTCCGATTAAAAAATATATATTTTGGGGCACATTTAGGATATGGTCGGATGTGCTGTACTGTTATGTGGCAAAACAACAGGAAATGAAAGTAACGGCATTGTTGTGATGCCTGTGCACAAGAGGCGTCAGCTTTGTTTTAAAAATACCCCCCCCCCTCCCTTCCCTCCTTTAGCAACATTTGGAAGATAGTATACTGCATGTATCTCCAGAACCTCTCGATGTGTTGTTTCCCAATTATTACGACTCCTTTGATGCCGCTTTGATGCACAAATTGAAAGAATGAAATGTCGCCATCTACCATCATATTGAAGTTAGGTCTAATCCGGCGAAGAAAACGAGAGGATCTCGCTCCAGCCACTGAGCGCCCCGAGCCGTTTCAGGAGTTTTGGTAGAAAGAAAAGTAACATAATAAATCCTCTTCGTATCAGGCGAATGCGTTTGATATACCGCCATCATTGGGTCAGTTATTTTTTTTGTAGGATCATAATCGTCGATATATGAGGATGAATTCATTTTTATACGAAACTCCACCCTTTCTCAGCAAATCACCGTCGACCTCTCTCTTGCAACCCTTCTGACCCACATACCAGATGCAAATTCCACGCTTGTCGTATTTCCACTATATAGATTAAAGTTATTTTCACTGCAATTCTTTGTAAGTACGCAGATGGCTCAGTGGTAGAGTAACGGGAGGTCCCGGGTTCGAAATCAGTCGATACGCTAGGTAGTGCCCCGTTAATTTATTCAATAGGCACTTCATCTCAAAGCCGACGTCCTCTGGTTGCTTATCTACAGGCATACAAACTCTTTCGGGTAAAACAGATCATCATCATAATCAAATTATACAAAGTCTTTGATTTCTATTCATCTAATGTCGAAAATGATCGATGAGTATGAAAATTGTAAGAAGCAATTAATGATTGTCAAGTATTAAACCCGAGTATGTCGATGGGGGATTGGGTGTCCAGACACAAACATAAAGCCTTCTCTTTTGCGCCCGTCCGGATTTAAAGAAATATATGCATCAAATAAACACTTACCATCATACGATAGCTTTATAACGTTGTCTAACATAAGTCTTAACAAATTTATGATATATTTCTTCTTCAAATTCTACTGCCCGGATAGACAACTTGGACACAATCTGTCCGGACAAACAACTTTTGGGTATATGATCGGAAATTGATACAAAATCTCTAGTTTGGATGACAGTGTAAATGCCCCTAAAACTATTAAAAAAAAAATCAAATGCGGGGAAACTTTGAAATCAGCGGGGGTCTGTCAGAGTTTGGAACAGCTGACGCGCGCATACGATCAATTTTATACGCAGAAAGTTGTCACTGATTTGGAGTCGATACCGGCGCTAACCCTCTAATATAGATCGAGTCTACACGCAGTTTGATGAGGAGAAAAGTCGGGTTGCTTCTATCGATAACCCTGCAACCGAGCTCGTAGTAAACTTTCTCTGTGAAAATCCATGTGGTTGGTTTCCCTATTTTGTGATGCACCCCGTTTACGTTTGGCAACAACATCAACATCACGGTTTCGTTCTTCCCGGGATTTTGCGAGGGATGAAATTTGATCATCATGCACTAGTTGCTGAATGTTGGATGTGTGCGGTAGTCGGTAGAAGTTGTATGTACTCGTTATTTTCCATTTTCCTGCAGCTTGAATTGGACCAATTTTGGGCATGTCTGACTTTTGAGGACTCTTTTGAGGACTGTCCATTGTCATATCAATAGACAAATAGTTTTGCTCTTGCCGAATTATCTCGAGCTGAAGAGTCAACGCATCATCAGTGGTTAGACACCGACAATTGAACTGTCATCATCGAGATTGTGATTATCATGTAGACCCTAGTCTAGTCTCAACTTTGTGATCTTTTGCAGGATATTCATGGAAATCGTATTAATCTAGAGACTAGAGTGAAAAATGTCGACTATTGTAGAGTCAAACTCGATTACTTCAAAGTATGAGGTGAACTCCAACATTAAGATTGATGGGGATGAGCTGGGAGACACGGCGGAGCCCGCTGGGAAAGTGGCGGATGGACTCAAATTTAATGCCGTCTTAGGAGAGGTTGATATGCAGTTGGAGCAAAAGAAGCAGCAAAACCACACATTTGGAGAGGGACAACATAATAACCTTAGCGGAGAAGAAAGTGTTAGTGGATCTCTTTATTTGAATGGAGAAACGGTAAACTCAATGGACCCGAAAATGGACCCGAAAATGAATGCAGAAGTCAGTGTTGTGAACGGGGAAGGAGCAGCCGATGAGTCGGGTGATATTTCCCGTTCATCAGCGGGTGGCAGTGATTCTCCTGCGGCCGCAGAATCGCCTCAGAATGACAACTCTAAGATCCCCACTGAATCGCCCACTTTGCAGGCACAAGTCGATGGTCATGATGGTGAAACAGATAGCATTGATTCAGGCAAATCAGCTAAGAAAAAGAAAGGATTTCTCTCAGGTGGATTGCACATTCACATGCCAAAGTTTAGCAGTCGTTTGTCATTTGGTAGTGATGTGAGTGCGACGAGTACGGGTAGCGAACTCGATGGATCACCCGAGAAAAAGAAAAAGAAGAAAGATAAGAAAAACAAGAAAAAACAAAATCTCACAACCAATGATGAAGGGGATCAAGATAATGCTACTCCCAGCGAATACACAGAAAGTAATGCAAGTGATAGAGCAGATCAACTCGATGGAGCTGTTTCTTTGAATGATACAGGACTGGACATTCAGTTTGAAGACCAAGAAGAGATGGCTTCCGGTGGTGATGGTCAAGTATCTTCAAATTCAAAGGAAGAAGGAGAAAATATTCAGGAAGGTAGTCCTTCAGATGCAGTGGAAACGTCCAGTCCAGAACCAGTCCTTGGCAACAAAGTGGAGCCAAAGGAGAATGAACAGATCAAGAAGATGGACGTGGATGAGACACCTGCTCAAGAGCAAGAGGCACCTGCCAAAGGTAATTAATGACTCAGGTCTAGAATTTAGATCTATTGATCTAGACTCTAGTTTTACCTTGTTTTCCCCTTTTGGGGGGGGGGGGGGGGGAGAAGGGGGAGCGCACTAATACAGAAGCTTGTCAAAACTCATAAGGCATGGAACGTAGACAAGAAAGGTCTTTTCTTGATCTACTCATCTAGACTACATTACAACATGTACACTTTTTACAGCCGACAGCTAGTAGTAGTAGTACAGGACTACAGGGTCAGGGTATCTAGTGTCCTGCCCCTGATATTTATATTATTGGGTGTGTGTCTAGGTGCTTGAAAAGGGGGGAAATATAACTCTCCAAAAGACCAAAGTAGGTTTCTCTTTATCAGAATCTTGCTTGTCTGAACATTCCTTGATAGCCATTCCAGATTCGCTGGTAGCACAATCTTTATCAAAAAGAGAGATGGATACTCCCCCCCCCCTTTTTTTTTGTTTGTTTATAAAAGCTCTGAATGATATAAGATAAGTTTTATATTTTACAGATCTGAGGCTTTCCAGATTTGTTTGTAGCTCAACTTGACCTTGCAGTAATATGCTATCACAACAAAATTCATGCATGCATTTAATACATATTTAAGTCTAAATTCAGACCTGTTTTGATAACTATTAACTTAAAGTTATCAGATTTCTCAAGTTTGCCAGTAATACAAAGAATTGAAAATCAAAATGGACTAAGAATGACTAGTTCAATTTTAGGGTCATATTCCAGTGAGGTAGCAAATTTTGTTGTACCTGTGACCTTGGCCCTGCACATTGCATTACATACAGTATATGAATTGACCTCTGGTCATATTAAGGTTAGGGGCAGGTTTGGTTTTTATTTGACCATCAGGCTTTCAAACACATAAATAACTAAACACCTCCAAATGCCTAGATGCAGCAGTCTCCCTTTTGTTATCTGTGAGTGGGTAAACAGGGAGTTTGCCAAAGATTGACTCAAATTTACACAATGTCATTGACCTCATAGAAGGTGCAGTTTACACAGTGTACACAGAGTAGTTGCCAGGAAGTGGTGATTGCAATGTAGGCAAGGTACAGTGAAGAAGCTCTCATAAAACTTGAGGCTCATCCAGAGGAGAAATGAATAACATTGGAGTTAAGATGTTTCAATTTCCTGGTTGAGGTTCATTTCATCACAGGGTGTTGTCGATAATTGAAGCTTCTAACACTTACATCGTGTTGGACTGTTGGTGTAGTATACAGGCTAGGCTTACTGTACAATGCATTATTATTCAATAGTCTTGACTGAGGGTTGAGAAAAGTTGGGAATAAATGGCAACTCTCTAAGATATTGCATAAGTTTAATAGAACGATTGGGTAAAAAGAAGTTATAAAGCAGAATGTAGATTTTGCAGGAACACTGGCCAGTCTTGACGGCAGATGTTAATATTCTTGTCATATTTTATTTTGAGATGTAGATCAGTATTTGCTTATAATTGTTCAGATGTCATGCTATTCAACATTCTTTTAATGATTTTCAGTCTGCAGTCATACATGAACATTGTATGTGAAGTCCTGCCTCTGTGTATACAGTAGGCTGCAGCATATACACCTGTACAGTATAGTAGGACCTGAATGGCTCAGCTAGGTTCCACTCCAGTGCACTCTTTTTGTTCTTTAGATCACTGAGGCCTTTGATTGGTGCAAAGTTTGTTGCCCACCCTTTAATGCCCAGTTACATGCAAGTGCCTGGGCGTCTTTGGTTTTTAAGGAGCCCTTTTTTCCCCAGAAATATATATTGCTGAATTCCAGTTAGTATGGAATATTGGTTCATTTTCCTGTATTTCTTTGAAGCATTCTGCCATGTGAAGGAAATAATATTTCTACATTTTTGGCACTTGCGATCAATCTTTCTCTAGGAATGGGAACTTATTTTTGAAGGAACTCATTTAATATGAAGATTTAAAAACAAAAAAGAAGAAAGAAACAGAAATCAAATTTATCCAAGTTAGCACTGCATATTCATATGTACTGTACATGTAGTAGACAATTTGAGACGGCATGATAATCAATGTAATCTGTTAAATCAATTTTAAAGTACAGTGTTCATTAACGGATCCATTAACTAGACCAGTCTGCTACATAAATTGATTTCACTATACTAAGTATACAGAGTAGGCATTACATTTCCCATAGCAGGCTTTCCATTGTTCATTTACATTTCATAGCTCTACTCAGTTGTGCTGAATTACATTTTTTTTTTCAAATCATGGGAGCCTTCATAATTTCATAATCAATTTTAATTTCAAAAGCATTAATTTATGATTTTATATTATACTTTCTTCCTTAGTTTTATTAAACTATTGGCTACATGTACACATGTAGGCATCCCTCTATTGATGTACATGTATGATGATCATGATTGATTCATTACAAAAAACAAACAAAAAATTGTATTTGTTTGTTTTTGTATATTTTTCAACTTTTCCAACTTGTACTGTACATTCTATGCACATTTGTCCTTGCCCAATTTGTTTAGCAATTGTCATGGATTCCAATATTTGGCATGATTTGAAATTTGGTTGTTAGCTCTTTCAAAGGTTCGTGATCGATGTCTCCGTGATAGTAAGAAATCCTAGCTAAAACAGGTCACAGTAAGGTATATATGAGAAAATATTCAGAATGCACTGCATCCCTCTTTGATGACATTTGGATCTATGGTGGGAGTCGCACATAACGATTCCTCCAGATTGTTTATCATTTTTACCAAACAATCTCATGCACTAGACAGTAACCCAAATAATATGCCAAGGGTGCAATAAATTCTACAAGTACTTTAAACTAACTGTGAATTGAGAACATCCATTCTGTCATAATTTAGTTGACTTCAAACATATGGGTATGTATGTTTTTTTTAATTGTTGGTGCTCAATTGTTGATTTTTACTTGTCGATAGTCTAATTTACATTGCAGAACATCCAAGTTGAAAAACCAGTGTTCAAACAAGTTAACAAAAAAACAAAAAACATTATATACCATTTACATGTACACTACTGGACAAACCCATACAAACATGAGTGTTTGCTAATTTTTTGTTTTGTTCTGCACATGTACGCTACGTTTTGCTGTTCTGCATGTGATAACACTTTCAACTTTTGAAAATACATGTATTGTAAAGATGTCCATCAGAATGGCATCATAATGAACAACACTTTGAGACCAAATCAATGGTTGCTGTCAGTGGTATGGGTCTCTGGGAAATGATATATTTGCTTTGATCTTGAATAGTATAAAATGTGCAATATTTCATTTCACTTTCCTTAGAAATACCATCATCCACATTCTTTCTGTTGGCACAAAACAGAACCATGGGACTAGCTGCGCCACGCCCATGTAATCTAGTTATGTTGATGTCCCTGAAAAATGACCACAAACTACGTAGTAGCCAGCTCTACTCCCTGCTATCTCCCGTATTTCCCTGTATCTTGGCCTCCCATAATCTGGGCCTAATGGATGCATTTCATACCTTTTTTGGGTGGTCGAAAGCACTCTAACCCCAGACCCACTACTACATGGACTGGTATTATTGTGTAGAGTTTCATCATGGTTTCATGCTCCTGTTTGGATATTCCTTGGAAAATATGTGAAGGATGCTTGTTTTACAGGGTTTCCTTAGCCCTTATGCTATTTTTTCGGTGGTAGCATAGCTTTTTATGAGGATTAGAATGTATTGATATGTTTACATGAATAAACCTTGTATTTCTATCGCTGAAAGGTACATTTTGAACAAGTATTTGTATTTAGGCAGGGATTATGGTACTGCTGATGATAGTGCGGATTACCTGTGGATTGGTGGAAAGGGGGTTGATTGATCCCTTGGGATTTAAATGTAATGATCATACACTGTAGATAGCAGACTTTGCAAGTTGTGTAAAACATAATTCTCTGCGCATCAAACTTTCAAAGCATAGGTGTGAACATACACATGTAGGTCGAACTTCCCAAACGTGTATTTAGTAATTAGTATCATTGGGTGGTGATTGATTGATCATTTAGATTCAGTACAGTACATGTAGGCCTGTATGTAACAGTTTTCTCAATGTTCAGGTATTTACCTGTATTTTATACTTGAAAACAAACATAACAAAATTATTCCATTAAATATTGTCTATGTAGTATTCATTTAAAACTTAAAAGAAGTCATAAATGGATCGGCCTACTGTCCAACTTCATGATCCAATTTCTAGTGAAAGTAACCTAAATTCTTTTTATTTAATTATTAAGAAAAACATCTTAAATTTCATCTGTTACGTAGCACTTCACTACTACTTTTTTCTGTGTCTTGGTGTGGATTGTAAATTTGTAACTTGTAAAGTCAGATGATGATGCTGAGCTGGGTTCCCAGTGACCAGTTGTTTTTAATCAAGTTCGGCATTTGCTTCCTTTGGGGTTTCGCTAAGCATAGTAATTCATGGGGGTTTATTCCTTTTTCTGTGCTCCATTCAGAACAAGAGGTCTTTTGATGTTTGCTTAGTGGTAGAAATCTGTAAAAAGGGTCACTCGAGGTCAACCAACACAAACCTATTACTAGCCCTCCAGGTTCGTTTTGTCAGAAAGCCCGAACAGGAGAAAAATGGCAAACAGGTTCTGACAACAACTTTGACAATCTTTGACACTGTGCATAGAAAGTGCCCCATTTTCTTCAATCTTTTCCTACATTTGGTACAAGCAAGGAACATTCCAGATGTATGGATTTCTCATACACAAAACTCAGGCACAATGCCAGTTACAAGGTTTTCTTTGCATTTCTCTGCCAGAACACTATAGTTAAAATGTAAACTGACCCTGTTTCATTATCCTTCTTGTTTCATGACCAGTGGACATCCTCATGTGTTGACCTTTCTTTCCTTTTCTTTCCTTCATTCCTTCTCTCTTTCTTTCTCTCTCTCTCTCTCTCTCTCTCTCTCTCTCTCTCTCTCTCTCTCTCTTTCACTTTCACTCTCTTTCACTCATTCCCACTCTCTCTCC